TATATATATATATATATATATATATATAAGTATATTTATATATATATATATATTTATATATATATATATATAAGGGTGTCCCAAAATTTGCGAATCAAAATATAGCAAGAAAGTTCTCCAAAAAATAAGTTATTAATGTATTTGTCATTTTTCATCCCAGACAATAATTTTTGAGATATAAGTACTAAAAAACTAGCCAATTATAGATTGCAGTTAAATGGAAATTTGTACACCCTGACTAATACTTAAAACTTTAAAACAATAAAAAATAAACAAAATAAAAAAGATGAGATAAATAAATTTTCTTATGGTCTGTTATTTTTTTGTAAAATATGTTGTTTTGAAATTGCTCCTTACAAAATATGACAGCGAGAAATTCTTTTGTCTCGATGTATTTGTGGAGAGTTTCACGGTCGATTTCTTCAATGCTTTCATCAGTTTTCTGTTTCACCATCCATTCGAGTACTTCAGTCTCGTCGAGAAGATTACCTAAATGTTATACATTGGCCCAGTTGATAACTCATCAATTACTTGCCCAATATTTTGCTAGTCAGAGTTGAATTAATGCTGAAAAAACAATAGTATCTTCTCCGAAATTTGAGAAAAGATCTCTAAAGTTGTAAGTTACTTAAGTATTATCCAGCAGCATCAAGAAGAATATATAAGACTTTTTTATAAGTTGTTTAAAATTATAACTTTTGTACATTGCACAGATATACACAAAATGTTTAACAAAGTGCAGAGTTCTCAATGCTATAAATTTAAAAATTTAGTTTACATTAATATAAATAAAAAACGTTTTTAAAAGAACATTTGTCTTATTTTCAAATTTAGGCATTCTTATATTTCAATATTTTTTATTATAAACTGAACTAATATAATTAATTTCATAAATCATAGCAAACATTATTTAATATATATTAAATAATGTTTTGCTAAATATAATATATTTTTGATAAAATATCTATATATAAAGTGTTTATATTGAATGACAATTATTTTTTTATGTTCTCTGAAGACAGATTTTTATAATAAAGTTGCATTGCTTCCATTAAGTCCGTAAATATCTTGATTTATCATAATTTATTTTATCAAAAATAATTCATCGATAGAGCGATAAATTCATTAGTATTAACGCTGTTCTGGAATGGCTATTTATTTTTATTAGCTTCTTATAAACAATTTTTGCAAAAGTATGAATATTTTTATAATAATTATGTTTTATATCTACATGATTATTGTTTAATAAAGGAGATTATAAGTATTTTTAATTTGTTAAAGATTATTATTTACGAGAAATTTGTACGCAGAAAAGATATCTAAATTGGTACCAAGCTTAAACAGACATTTAAATTTGTTTGAGAAAATCAAGAAATAATTAAAAAACTAAACTTTATTTTTAGAAATATACTTAATAAGAATAAAATTAAGATAAATTGAGATAAATTGAAGAATAGAATTGAGATAAATTTTTTTAATTCTTCCTATAAATTGTTTTTATATTTTTTGTCAGATATTTTTGTATTATTTTATTTCTATTTAAATTTATTTCTATATAATCCATGTGACTTTAACATAGATTTATGTTTCGTATTCTAAGTAAATTTGATACTTTTAAAACATTATTGTATCCAATTGTATACAATAATGAAGAACTATATCATTATTAGAGCAATGGTAGACAAAGCAAATACAAAGGATATTAGGAAATGTATTTATTGTTATCATATAATATCGACTTTTATTATTGTACATGCTGCTCTTATGCAAATAACAAGGACTTATTGGCTCGTACGCAACGTTCACGAGCAATAATTCATGACCTCTGATAACCGTAATCACAGATACAGTGTGACAAAAAATTTTATTATAGTAGGTGATGCGACGAATTTTTCTAAAGTATTTAAAATAATTGATTCTAAAGTATTTAAAATAATTGATTTTATGCTCTTTTAGGTCGCGATATTATTACGCGAATCTCGCCTGTAACTTGACAATTCCGAAAGTAATAACGTGTTTGTATGTTGCGCTGATTATCGGACACTGAGCGACAAAATGGCGAACATTTAAGATAAGAGATATTTTAATTACAAATAAATAAATATATATATAAATAAATAATGCTTCTATTTTCTCGTGCGATCTAATCGCAGTTCATCAAAAAGTTATTCTTCAGATTTTTATTAATTTATGCGATCAGCATAAACCTAAGCTAAATAAGTGATTGCTAGATGCAACAAATGTCGAATCTCGACGTATCTTAAAGGAAGAACAGGGCATATCTATGCCGAGACTAAAAATAACATATCAGAAAAACAACATACAATCATATTCATAATTTGTAAGATTCTTAATAAGAATCTTATTTATAAGATTTTTGTACGTGTAGTACGTTCATTTGTTGTGTTATTCCTAGTCCCGAAAATTAATAAATCCCGAAATTTCAAGGGTGAGATTGCGATAATAAAATTATTACGATGCCAAATATTTTAAAATTCTTTTTATCAATGTTATCAAATTTGTAATAATGATGATATTCATGGCGAATCTGATTTCTTCCCGCTTTAAAACAGAAGACTGACATAAACACACTGTAGGAACTCCATAATTATTAAGAAATCTCGTTATAAATAAATTGTAGGCAAGACATTCGTTCAATTTCGCGTTAACTCTGAGCCTCAGCCATTCTTGAGATCTCTTTAGTCTTATAAATATAATGTTGAGAAGGAAGATTAGCTCGAGAATCAGTGGGTTTTATTGGGACAAAAGAAAAGAAACGTATAGAGATCGGTAAAATGGAGGCTCCAGAACGAAAGGTTTTAGTTACAAACGATTAATCTTTCTCTCTTTTTCACGTTAAATTAAACGCTAGAGCGTGTACCGCAAAATCTAGGTAGAACACTATCGATAGTCTCGGCAACAGCGACTCCTTCTCCTTCTTCCTACACTATAAAGTCCTACCCATTACTGCGAATGTTATTGATGAAATGCAACAAATCGACGGTATCGCTCTTCGTGACGTTAACAGGTTAACAGGTAAAACAAAACTGATAAACAATATTCAGCGTTAGACGATGATCAGATGTTAAGGATCGAGATTCTACATAAGAAATGCATACGTTGCGAGAATTTTATTTATCGCATGACCATTGGCAGGCACCGACATACTCTCTCTCTCTCT